ACTGGGTTACAAAAGGAATGCATAGGGCCCTGGGATCAGATTGAGAAAGGAGTATAGGTATTGTATAGGGGAGAAGAAATGATTCAGCCTGTTTCCAGCCTGGAGTAGAGACCATGTGAGGTAGGGCTGATGACTCCTGAGGCCATCCCCCAGATCCCCTCACTTGGATAAAGGATGCTAGTTGAGGGACACTTGTTCTCTGCTTTCTGTTAACCCCCAATTGTTGCTTTTTTTGGTCATTGGGCCCCTCCCTGAGGAGCCTCGTGTCTGCAAGATAGCATGAGAAATAATCCTCAGGCCCTCAGGGCTCAGTGGCTACGTGAGGCATGAAATAGAGGCTCCTGCAGTAAGGAAGGGCAGGGTACCACAGAGAGGTGACATCTGGCTGCAATCTGAAGGACAAGGAAGGGTTTGTTTGCTGGCCCAGAGTGGAAAGGAAGAAGGCCCAGGTGCTGTCATGAGGATCCCAAGGCCTGGAAGTGCAGCATTGGTTGGTTTGGAAAATGACAGAACACAGTACAGCAGAATCGGCAATCAGGGAGGGAGCAGGTAGGATCCGGAGGGAGAAATGAGAATGGGTTCATGCAGGAACTTGACGCAGTGGAAGAGAAGTGGCAGGGAAGAAGAGGCGGTGACCCTGAGCATGCCTCGCAAGTCATCTGGTTAGATGGCAGCAGGTGAGCCTGGGACACCCTGTGGAGATGCCTCTTGCTTGAGGTCCACCTGCTGTGGGAAGACCCTGTTGTCTCCTTGCATCAGGGCAGGAGCAGGACCCACCCTGAGCTTGCTAGTCACTCAGCAGCTCCTGGCCAAAAACAGTGAGCTCTAGGGGACAAGGGTCAGATGTCAAAGGAATGCACAGTCTTGTCAGTAGTGGTTTTTGCCTGTGAAGGCAGCTGCCACCAGCTTCCTCCGGAGAAGGCCCCATGCAGCCCCGTGCGCTGCAGCTGGAGAGCAAAGGAGCAGATGGCTTTGCTGGCCCAGATTCCAGCCTGATTGCCTGGGAGGTGTGGGTGGAGTGTAGGGGCCACCAGGAGTAAGATACGTGGGGGAGGGGAGCAGGAGCCACCACTGCCATCAAGAGGTGTTTTTGTTCTGGGACAGGACCAAGGGGTGTTCTGCCCACCCGGAAACGGGGATGGCCTCCACGGCCTCTCTCTGGACTTACCTGCATTTGTTAGAGCTCCATGGAGAGAGCCTGGCTCTCTGTCTGTGAGGCCTGGCTTGAAAGCTTGTGGGTGATTTTCAGTGCCCATGGGAACAGCCCAGTACCCAGTGCCCAGCACAGGTAGGACCCAGGTGTAGCGCAGGTAGGACCCAGTTAGTTTCAGGGTTTATTCTCTTAGCAACTGGTAATAGTAGCACTTAGACCTTCTCTTAGTAAATCCTCACAGCACTTTAAAAAAGGAGTCCTCCTTTGATCCCCACTTTATAGCTAAGGACCTGAAGGCTGAAGCCAACAGCTAAACACATACTGGAGAACAGATGGTTCACTCTGATAAACTGATGACCGAGCCTGGAAGCTGGGGCTTGGTGGGCAGAAGGCAACCCCAAGAGCAGCAACCAGGAGAGGAGCTGACCTCCTGGCTAGAGGAGAACACATGTCTCTTTTGGCTTTGTGCTTCCTGAGCCCCTGTCAACCCTTAGACCCCAGTCTGCTCCCCCCCCCACCCCGTTGTTCAGGGTGCTCCTGGAGTAAGTCATGAACCCACTCAGCATGGCTGAGCAGGCCATGTGCAACTTCAAAGCTCGCCATTCACACAGACTGATGAAAATAATCTGGCCTCTGAGTTGGTTGAGATGGGAGCCCTGTGTGGGGCCACACTCTGAGGTCCTTGAAAACCAAGCCTCTGTTGGCCTTGACACACAGGACTTGTCATGGCAGTGGGCGCTACACAGTCTATACTCAGCTCTGCCACTCTGGGATGAGCAAGGTGTAAGTGACCCATCACCAGACTGTGTTTCTTCTGTCCTGCCTGTGGGAGCCCTTCTGTCTGTGGTGGTGGCTGGGGTGGGGTGGGGGTGGGGCAGGGGAGGTCATCTGCTGTTCAGCTGGTCTCAGAAGCAACCCCTCCTCCCCACAGCAGCCCTCGGCTTGGTTCATGGAACTGCGTAGTAGAGCCTTGGCCTCTAATCCCAGCACCTCTAAAAAACAAAAAAACACAGAGTCCGCCTTCTTGCTGAACACAGGGAAGGGAAAGGGAGCTGGCTGTGTGCTGGGTAGTGGGGCTTTGCTCCAGGGAGCTGGGCTCAGAGCCAGGCTCAAGCCTCCTAGTGAGAGCTGCCGAGGCAGCCTTGGCTCATGGGTATTAAAGGTTTCTTAGAGCTGGAGATGATTTGTCCCACTTCTTGGGATGAAAATAACTGCCCGACTTCAGGGTAATTACATGGCTTGGGCTCCCACACAGTGCAGAGAGCCCCCGATAATTACTGTGCAAATGCTGCTGTTGGCAGCTGATGCTGTTTCCTGCCTCAGAGCATCTTCTGGACAGGAAGCCTGAGCCATCATCCATGTAGACAACCTGAATCTGCTCATGTGAGAAGAGCCTTCTAGAAACATTTCTCTCTCCCAGAACCACCTGTTAGGCAGAAGGCGCCATTGCCAGCCCAGATACGAGCTGGGCCTGGGGTGGTCAGCACCTACATTAGTAATTTCTTATCACTATGACAAAAGCATCTGACTAAGCAACTTAGGGGAGGGTTTGGCTCACAGCTCCAGGGTACAGTCCATCCTGGCAGGGAAGGCTGGAGAGAAAGGTCACATTGTATCCACAGCCAGGAAGCAGAGAGCATGAACCCTGGTCCTCAGCTATTTTTCTGTTTTGTTCAGTCCAAGTCAGCCTACGAGACAATCTGTCCACATTCAGAGTGGGTCTTCCCATTTCAGTTAAACATCTCTGGAAATGTCCTCGTAGACATGTCCATGGTGATTCCAAATCCACTCAGCCGTGGAGAGAACTGTCTCAGTGGCTTTGCCGTCATCTCCTCAAGTAGCCTTGGGCTAGAACCACCTACTGAGTATTCTACCAAGCTCTGTAGGAAGCACCTGCATGTGGGCAAACCTTCCTTTTATTGCAGTTGTCTCTCCCTTGGGGTTGGCACTCCAGGTGGTCTGTGGTGGTCTTGGTGGAGAGCCTGTATGTATCCTCTTAATATTTATTTATTTGCATTTTATGTGAGTATTTTGACTACAAGTACATCTGTCTACCACGCATGCCTGGTTCGTTAGATCCCCTGGAACTGGAATTGCAGATGCTATAAGCTGCCATGTGGGTGCCAGGAACTGAACCTGAGTCCTCTGCAAGAGCAGCAAATGCTGTTTATCACTGAGCCATCTTTCCAGCCCTGAGACTGTCTTTGGGCTGAGCTAGGGAACTGCCAAGGATGTCAAGGTCCTGTGTCAAGGTTCATTGTGTGTCAGGCCTTAGAACAGAGTCATGAACATCTGGCTACATTCCTGCTTTCTTGGCAGGAATGCAGATGCAAAACCTGTAATTACCCAGTCATACAGTGTGGCTGTGAGATGGTTGTCCATGAGATGCTGGGATCTGTGAGGATATATAGCAGGAAGGGACCAGAGAGTCTGAGTGAGACCTAAAGGATGAGGAATGAGGCAGATATGTGTACACATGCATGTGTGTGGGTGTACCATTGCACACATGCTCAGATGTTTGTTAGAGGGGGTGTCTAGATTACAGTACATGGATGGATGGATGCATGCATGCATGCATACATGCATGCCTGAATTTGTGGATATATGCAAGGGTGGAGAGATAATTGAGTCTTCCAGGCAATCCTAATAGGTTATGCAGAAGCTTAGAAGTCAGAGGATGTGTGATTATTTAGCTGACACAAACTACTGTTGCAGAAAATGTTAGGAGTTCAGGAAATGAAGGTGGAGGGGCAGACAGACAGGATTAACTCACAAGCCTTGCACTGCACAGCTCCAGAGGCATTGAGTCTCCAAACCACAATATGAACGGTGCCCCATGGAATCTGGCAAGGCAGTGACCTGAAGCGGGGGGATCATATCGATGTGCAGGACTTTGCATCCAAGGCAGGGGTAGAGGATGCTGTTCCCAGAACAGTGGGGTGGGGCAGAGAAAGGTTTGAGCATATGAAGCTGATTTCCGTTTGCAACGCCTGAAAACAGCAGTGTCCCCTAGAACTTTCTATGAAGATGGGCACATTTGATTTCTATTCTTCCCACTTTGTACCACTCCACTGAGCAGAGTGGTGAGCACTGTGCTTTACATGCATGTTAATTCCAATGTAAATGACCACCATGGCCTGATGTGGTCTGTGGCTCCATAGGGGAAGTGCAGCTGAAGAGTGTGGCTGGGTAAAATCCTGTCACACCACTGCCATGCATCTTGAGCAAATCTGCTGGTGATGTTTTTTTTTTTTTTTGTTTTGTTTTGTTTTTTTTGGGGGGGGTGGGTTGAGGCCTAAACTTCCCCTTCATGTACGTGTCCTCAGGCAGCTGGCCCTTGTCCAGTCCTCTGGCCCAGAATTCCACTTGCCTATTCACTGCTCTGCCTAGGGAAGCTGGGTCCAGGGAGGAGGAAGCTGAGGCAGGGGAATTATAAATTTGAGACCTCCTTGGGCTACATAGCAAGTTTCAGACTAGCCTGGACTACCAAGCAAGACTTTCAAAACAAGGCCAGGATGTAGCTCAGTGGTAGAGGCCTCATCCCCAGCACTGCCAAGAACAAACCCCCAAACTGCTCAGATCAGTGACTGGCCCAGAGGGAAACAGGACAGCTGTCAGCCCTTGTATATGAGGCCTAGGATAAGACAGGAACTGCTTGGAAATCCTAGACCAAAGGCCTAGGTTCTGTGCCTCAGTTTCCCATCTGTGAAATGGAGACGCTGTTAGCATCCCATTATCCTTCTGTTTTGAGTAAGCATGACTTTGTGTTGGGGCCCGGGGGAGGGTGTCTTCCTGGGTTTCCACAAGTGTGTGACAGGAATCTCACTCCTGCCCCTTCCTCTTGCAGTACGCTACTTCCTGAAGAACAAGGTCAGCCCTGATTTGTGTAACGAGGATGGACTCACAGCCTTGCACCAGGTAAGCAGCCCTCTCTGGGCTCCCCTGGCCTCTCTGCTCCTTGATAACTGGTGCCCCAACTCTTCAGGGAAGCGGGGACGACCGGTGGAGAATCCAGCTGAAAGGCTTTTGTCCTTTGGAGATGTGTGTGTCTGTCACAAACAGGCCTTAGAGCCCTTTGTGCTTAGCACACATATGCAGTGACAGGCTCCGAGGACAGGACTCCTTTGTTCCCTGTGTCCTCAGAGCCAGCAGAGAAAATGTGTGTAGAGGTTGAGAATTGACGGAGTGCATTCACAGCCACTGGGACATCCCACTCACCCTGAGGACAAAGCCGCTTGATTTGTGTTGCCTAAGGTCACATAGCCAAGAACCATGGCCAGGAAGCATGTGCTGTCAAACACTGGACCATTCCAAGGGAGTGTGGTGACAGCCCTCCCTGCCTGGGGACAGCCTTGACTGTCACCACCCACAGGCAAGCTTTGCCTTCCAAGGCCTCCTAACTAGCCCCCATGTTTAGTTGAGTCTTGCTGTTAATTCTCTCTCCAAAATCTGAACGTTTGCTCAAGTTCAGAACTCTTTAGTGTCTTCTTCATAATTCCGAGGGTAAAGGACAATCCTTAGCTATCCTGCACAAGACCCCGAAGGTCTGTCCTGTCCAGTCTCTGTCCCTCCCCCAGCTCCCAGGCCAGGTCACTGCCCTTCAGGGCCTGCACAGTGGGGTCTCCTCTCCCCCATTTGTTTTACATTGCTCTGTGTGCCCAACTACTCCCTCCTGTCCCCAGGAAGAGATTAAGAGCTGGGCTATGACAGAGGCACCCTATTCTCCCAAGTGACCCCATTTTATGCCTCAAGAAACTGAGTCTTGGGGCAGCTCTATTCTGTAGAACTTTCCACAAAGGTGGGAATAAATGTTCCATGTGTCTGTGTGGACCAGTATAGTAGCCATAGAGTTGTGTGACTAATGAGGCAAGAACTGGATTCTAACTCTTATTTAATTTTAGTGAACTTAAATACAGATTGGCCATGTTAGATGTGAAATCTCTGCTAAGTCAAAGGGTGTGAATCATGGCTGAGCTAGGGTTAACATCAGTAGCCTTGACTGTCTGGATACAGTGGTTAGCTGAGTCCCAGGAGCTCCCTCTAGGTGCTATTCTTGCCTTTGTGAACTCTTTTTGTGGTGGCCCTTTCTTGGGCTTGGGGTGCCTTCCATTTCTCACTACTCCACCTCCTCGTCTTCCTGTTGATCACATGACTTCCTCAGGTCTAGTTTCTCCTGGGGGCCACTGGGCCTCTGAAACATAAGGAGGGGAAAACTCTGGAGGGTCTGGGCCCAGCTGGGTAGAACTCACCCCTGTCTCTGGGCTCCGTTTTGGGATGGTCCTGAGGAGCTGACCACCCCACTGGCCCACAGACTTTCATTCTCACTCATTCAACAGCCCCTTTTGCTCACCTGCTCTTGTGTCAGATGCTCTGCTAGGGACAGAGAGTTAGGAAGTGTCTGTACTTACAGACTGTGGTGTGATGTGACCACAGGCATAGAAATAAGCCGCTGAGATGACGTAGGGTGGGAGCAGAGGTCTCTGGACAGCTTGCAGCTGGGAGCTGGTGGCTTGCCTCAAAGGAAAACTGAAGAGGAAGGACACCTGAGCTGGGACTTGAAGAAAGAGTTTGTGTGAGTGAGAGAAAGAGTTTTCCAGAAAGAAAAGGAACAGCATTAGAGCAGAGGGAACAGCCCCAAAGGCACGAGGAAGCAACCCTGCCTTTCAAGTGTGAGTTGGAGGGAGTATTTAGAAGGCAGAGTGGGAGGCAGGACTGGCCAGGTTGAGAGCAGGACCTTTGGAGACAAACTGTTTCACTTTTAATCCACCCCTGTAGATTGATTTGTGTCATTGTGTGGGTACCTTGTGTTTTGTTTATTTAGTTTTTGTAGGCTCTCACTATGCAGCTGGTGCTAGTCTTGAACTAATGATCCTTCTGTCTTACCTCTATAGCACTGAGATAGTTGGATGTTACTGGATTGTAATCTTGAGTGAATCTACTTATTATTATGCGTATGACTCTGTGCTTCTCAAGGCCAGTGGGGAGGAGGGTTAACCCATTTTGAGGGTTAAAAGCTGCGTTGAATGGCCAAAGCAAATTTTAGTGACCAGCTCTCGTAGGTCTTCTGGAAGCAACAGATATCACTATTGACAATGAAGTTACATGCTGGGGTCACCCAACTGGGTATTGTTGCATACAGGATGGAAGACTGGGGCATCTGCAGAGCCTCCCAAAGCTAGCCGAGGAGTGCAGGTCTGCTTCTCTTGGTCATGCGGAACCTGAGGTTTGCACATACAGTACAGCAGAGGTCATCTGGAGGAGGGCTGATGCAGTGCGCCCTGGGCAACAGGGATGGGGACAGACGTTTAGGAGACAAGCACTCAGCTGGCTTTGTATTAGAAGAAAAGATACAGAAGGAATCAGTCTATTGCAGGTGCCATTTATCTCCGTGGTTCCATAGCGACTACCGGGCTTGCTCCCTCCTCTCACCCCCTCCTACATCCCTGTGCCAGCCCTGGGACCACACTCACAAGACTCTACAGCTCTGGGTGCAGTCCTCTGGTTCTCCTGTCTCCTTACTACAGGAGGCTGCCCACACAGGTCTTTCTTCCTTTCTACCTATGGCTCCAGTGCCTGTCTCCCTCTACTGGCCGTGTTATGCCACTGCATGGTTCTCCTGCCTTCCTAAAGACGTATAGTCCCAATGGGCTGTATCTTTCTTTCTGTCTGTCCAGAAAAGTACCTTGAGACCCAGCCATTCTGGACCAGCTGGCAGAAAGAACTGGCTCTCTGGCACCATCTGTGCACATGGCTGCTCCTTTCCTGCATGTTCTTCTGGTCCTGCCTGGCTGGAGATATGCTGGGAGCTGTGGTGGTGTCCTACTCCACAACCATCTGGTGTCCTGGGCTCACATAGATGCCTCTGATCCTTCTGCTGGCCTCCATGCTCCTTCCTTAATGTATATAGTTGGACACTACCATCCCTAAACTAGGTGACTTCAACATAGCTTCCCTCTGTCCCTCCCAGTGTGTGCTCACACACACACACACACACACACACACACACACACACACACACACACACGCACACACTGTCCTCCACGTGGAACTAGCAGAGTGAGATGTTTTTTGGTTTTGGCTTTGAGAAACATGGCAGCTTGTGCTACTTTTATGAGTATAGTCCACTCCTGCCTTCTTTTGCTCTGAAGACCGTACCTGGCTTATTTGGACAGGATGGGTGATCTCATGTTTCCTGACACACCGCAGAGTGGTCACTGACACTATCCTCTGTCCTCACCCCTATTCTCCCTGGGTGAGGCTGTGTCCCTTGGGGAGTCTTCCACTCCCTGTCCCTGGGACCTGTGTTCTCTTGGGAGAGCTGCGGAATTGGGACCCTCCCATCTCTCTTGTGCTTACTCACCTATGCCAACAACTCTATCCAGGTAGGAGCACAAACAAGCTATCTCCTTGAAGTGACTGTGCCAGGGTCCCTAGAACCTGCTGGGAGGAGTCTTCGTCACTTGGGAGCCTCTGCGAGATTTGCATTCCCTGGTCAGAGATTCTTAAAAGCTTCAAACAGCAATGCAAGGTGATATTTTAGAGGTTACCACCCCAAAGGAGAGTGTGGGCCAGGACCCCAAACACACCTGCTTGAGCTGGAGGTGATTTAAGAGTTCCTCTTAGAATGTTGCCTGCTGGAGGGAGCTGGCTGGGATTTTAAAAGCCCATTCAGATTGAATGCAGCTCCACTAATACTTTATAATATAGCTGACAGGGGCTGTTTGCTGAGGCTATTTTTATCTTGCACATTATCAACTTCTTTTTTTACACAGCAAGGAGACTAACTCTAAGAGGTAAGATGCCTTACACAAAGTTACAGAGCTGGACTAGAACTTGGGCTGTCTGTCTCCACCGTCCTTCTCATGGTCTCTCATGGGGAGTATAGTATGTCCCCACCAGAGTTCTGGGCCATGCCTGGCCTCAGTCTGCCGCCTCTATGTCCCTCCCAGTGCTGCATTGACAACTTTGAAGAAATCGTCAAACTGCTGCTTTCCCATGGTGCAAATGTGAACGCCAAGGACAATGAGCTGTGGACACCCCTGCACGCTGCAGCCACCTGCGGCCACATCAACCTGGTGAAGATCCTCGTTCAGTAGTACGTGCCCATCCCTCCCTGGGGAAGCCTGCTCTTCCCCTCATGGCTGGCCTTTTTCGTGTGCATTAGTCTTCTGTTTTTCCTGCTCTTCGAGTCCCCTTCCCTACCATCAATTTCCTTCTCTGTCTTCCTCCCTTAAGTTCCCTTTCTCTGTGTGTGTATTTTTACTGTTTCCTGTCTCTTTCTCACCATCACTCCCGATTCCTTGGTCTTTGCTACTCTGTTTCTTTCTTTGACAGTTTTTATTCGTTTTATAGTTTTTGTGTCAAAATGCCAGCCACATAAATTTACACATTTTGCTGTTTTTAAATGTGCAGTCCATGTATACACCTTGTTGGGTACTCATCAACACCCCTCTCCAGCTTGCTTCACCTTGTACAGGCCAACGCCATTTGACCACGACTCCTCCCACCCCATCTCCATCCCCCACCCCCATCATGACTACCGCTCTCTCTGCCACAGCTGCTCATTTAGTGGAAGCATGTTTATATTTTCATAAGTGGGTTATTTCACTTGGCATAATGCCCTCAAGGTTCATCCATGGGCTCAGAGACAAAACTATTTATCCACTTGTTCATTGATGGGTGCTGGGTGCTGCCACCCTTTTGCCATAACATGTATGCACAGATCTCTCTTCAGGACCCTGCTTCACATTGATTCGAAAATATACCCAGATGTGGAATTGCTGGGTTATATGATAGCCACTTTTAATTTTTAAAAGGTTTTGTCTACTGCTTTTCCAGTCCCCCTTCCATTTTACATGCTGGCCAACAGCCAGCCCTGGGCACATGATGCAGGAAAGCAAGACCAGTGGGTAAGGTCCTAGAGACTGACAGCATCTTAGTGCAGGGAGTCAGGAGGAGGGATGAAGAGCAGGCAACCACTCACACAGGTCTTGGCAGAGCATCAGAGACCCATTAGGTGCCTCCCAGGAGGGCCCTGTGGTCAGGGGAAGTGGTGCCAACCTGGCTTCATGTACTTCCCTGCTGGAATCACCTGAAGAAGAATACATGTTCCGAGGTCCCCTGGGTTCTTTGGGGACAGGGGAAAGAACCCATGGGGCTGCATTTCATTGCAGTGATTCCCCACCGCTGTGTTTCTGCCGTAGAGTACCCCACAGCCACACCTGGATGCTGCTCTAGTCTCAGCAGAACACAACTTAGGGGAGAAGGATTTATTCAGTGGCTTATGGTTCCAGGTTTCAGTCCTTCATTGTGGGGAATTGAAGGCAAGAGCCAGAAGCAGCTAGTCACGCAGTCAAGGGCAGAGAGAAATGACTGCACACATTGCTTAGTACTTAGTTAGCTTTCTCTACCCCTTCACAGTCCAGGGCCCCAAACCCGGAAATGATGCTGCTCACTTTTGGGATGGGCCTTTTCATGTAATTAAAACAGTCAAGACACTCCCCCATAGACATGCCTACCGACCAACCTGGTCTAGCTGAGGCTTCATTGAGATCCTTCCCAGACAGTTCTCAGCCATTTCTGATTAGAATGACCAATCATAGGTGCTTTGACCTAGAAGGTGAGTTCCTCCACGGGGTCCCAGGGCTCTGCTCTGCCCATGCCCTGGTCAGCTCTTTGGGTAAGGAATTAGGGGACAAATATGCATACTGGTGAAGGTTGGCATAGTGAGCCATGGAGTAAAAAGGGCTGACACGTGAGAGACCTGAGTTTGAATCTTGACCCTATCATATCCAAGCTGTGTGGCCTGAGACACATCATTGCGCCTTTCGGAGTCATTGTCTCCTCTTGGATGAGGTGAGGTCCACAGCAGCACCCATTGGGGAAATGGGGGGAGACTTCTTAAAGTAATGTGTGCAAAGGACTTATGTCTAGCTTAGTTGCAAGTAGGTAGCGGGTGAGAGGTCCTGCTCCTGTTTACATCATTTTATTATTGTTATCTGAGAGGGCTTTCACATCTGCTTGGAAGCGCCCATTTGCTGATGGAGTGCATCTGAGACCTTGGTCCCTTCCTGCTGGGACTCTGAGATGCAGAAACACTGCATTCCAGGATATGTGATGGGAGGAGAGGACATCGCTTAGCTAGGATACACCTAGGTGGGGTCATGGCTGCTGGGGAGTGCAGGGACACTGTGGATGGGAAGCCAGATGATGGAGACCACCAGGCCAACCCAGACACACCTTCTTGGCTCTTACTCTGACCCTTTCTCTGCAGTGGGGCTGACTTGCTTGCTGTCAACTCTGATGGGAACATGCCATATGACCTCTGCGAGGATGAACCCACCCTGGATGTCATTGAGACCTGCATGGCATACCAAGGCAAGGGGGAGCAGTATGTTATACCATGGGCACAGTGAGGTACTGCAGTGGGCATAGTTTCAGTGGATGGGAACAGCACACTAGCTGACTATGTACCTGCCAGTCTCGTGCTTAGCTCCCAATAACTGGGACAGGTCCTTGTTATTATTGTCACTTGTATGATTAAAAGATAGGGACGTGAAAGGGCCTTGGAACACATGCCGTGTAGAGGGAGATATTGTTCTCACTGTCACCCACACACGCAGGCGGCCTCAGCTGGCCTCCTCTTCTGTTTATCAGCTGTGACAATTCAGTTCAGTCAACACGCACCATAAAGATGTGTCCCCATTTGGGAACATGGTAGAAAGTCAAGAACATTTGCGGGTGCTGCTCGGTGCCAGGCACCAAGCTGGCTGCCAGGGGCCCAGATAAACAAGATGCCTGCTGTTCTGGGCTCCACTCACAGAGCACTTCAGAGGGAGGCACCGGTAACAGCAGGAGACCCTGCCCAGCCCAGCTCCCAAATGCCTGCCAAGCACTCTCTAGGGACAAGGGTCTTAAACCCAGCCCTGTAGCTGTGGCCCAAGGACCTGGCAGGTCCTCACCTCTGCCTCTCCCCAGATCTCTGTGGCCGCTGTTGGCTTGGCTTCTATACTCCCTGGTACCTGCATTTCCCCCACTAAACCCTGTACAAAGTTTTTTTTAAGTAACTTTGGTGCCAACGTGGTGAAACTACAGACTCCCCAAATGGACTTATAAAGCTGCCAGAGTGTGAGGGAAGCCAGCTGGGTCATCTTCCAACATAGCTACCACAATATTTTAAAATGTGCTACACAGAAGCCATTCATTCTTTTGATGATTGGATGTTGTGTTATGAAATTACCCTGAGTTTCTGTTGGCCATAGGCTCACAGGTACTGCTAATTGTTCTGATGGTAGGAAATACACACTTATGTGACTAGTCAGAATAAGCATGTAACCTTTTTTTTTTTTTCTTCCTTCGAGTTTCCAGATTGCTCTGAATTCTACCCAAGAACCCTGATCCCATGTTTTTTTTTGGGGGGGTAGGGTAGGGGGACATTGTGTCCACTCCTTAGATAGGTAGCCACCAGTGACAGGTACGCTTTTGTTAGCTAGAGATTTGGGACATAACTTGTCTCTGGAACTGGAATGGCTCGCGCCTATCATCCTAGCAAATGGGAAGCTGAGTCAGGAGAATTGTCACTCATCTCTGAGGCTAGCTTGCACTACAGAGTGAGACCCCCGTCTCAAAAAAAGCAAAGCCTTTCTGGGCCTTTCTATTTCTTACTGATTTAGCAATTCTTACAACAAAAAAATGTCTAAACTATTGTGTATGGTGCTGAAAACACAGTGGTATACAAGAGAAAGGAAACCAATAGACCCTGGTCAGCCAGGAAGGAATGGTCCTTGTCCTGTGAGGTAACCCATGGTGTTTGTGTTCAGCGGCCCTGGGGACAATGATCTTTGGAGTATCTGTGCACTGGGTGATTGGTTTTGGGGAGCAGGAGCCATGCCTTCCCTGTCTGCCTGGGACTCAGGCCTGATGTTGTTGAGTAACCTGTCCCCTCCCTGCAGGCATCACCCAGGAGAAAATCAATGAGATGCGGGCAGCCCCTGAGCAGAAGATGATCTCAGATATTCACTGCATGATTGCAGCAGGCCAGGACCTTGACTGGATAGATGCCCAGGGAGCCACGCTGGTGAGGAGTTGGGTCAGGCTGGTGTGGGTTAGGGGCAAGTACCAGAATCAAGCCCAACTAGGGCTGAGTTGGGTCTGGTTCCTGGTAGGGTGGAAACCTATATACTTGTGATCTTGGATGTCCTCTAGATCCCCTGCAACTCCTGGAATATAGACAAGTAAGGCTGGGGTCCAGCTCTTTCTGACCCTGGCCATTCTCAGCTGTGGCTGGGAGTCAGGAGTTCCGGAACTGGGCTCTGATGTCCATCGGCTTTGTATCCATGGCATTACCTATAATCTCCTCAAGGGCTGCCATTTGCCCACTCATCCACACAGTCTTGCTTTGTGTCATCCCGTCCCTGCCTACTGTGCCCTTGAAAACCAGAACCCTTCTCATTAGCTTTCCCTGAGGTCACTGTAACAGATTTTATCTATCACTCCATCACTCCATCCATCCATCCATCCATCCACCCATCCACCCACCCACCCTATCCATCCATCCATCCATCCATCCATCCATCTATCCATCCATCCATCCATCCATCCATCCATCCATTCATCTGTCCATCTCTCTGAGGTCACTGTAACAGATTTTATCTATCACTCCATCACTCCATCACTCCATCCATCCACCCACCCACCCTATCCATCCACCCACCCACCCACCCACCCTATCCATCCATCCATCCATCCATCCATCCATCCATCCATCCATCTGTCCATTTCTCTGAGGTCACTGTAACAGATTTTATCTATCACTCCATCACTCCATCCATCCATCCATCCATCCACCCATCTACCCACCTACCCTATCCATCCATCCATCCATCCATCCATCCATCCATCCATCTGTCCATCTCTCTGCCCATCTATCCATCCATCAGTCCATCCATTTAACACATAGTTATAAGGTCCACCCCTGTGCTACATGTTCTACTTGTCCTGTGAGAGATAAAATGACAGAGCCTTCCTCTCTTTCTCAGAGCCACCTAGTTACCTTCACCTGTCCTTGTAATTCAGCCGTCACTGTCAGCAGCTTGAGAGGACACCTTGGCCTCTCCTCCAGGCCCTCAACAGCAGAAGTTCAGTACTGGGGAAGTTCTGCTTCTGCAGCCTCTGAAACATGGTTATGGAAGTCCCCACTTCGAGGTCTGGGCACTTGACCTTGACCTCCTAGCTTTAGGCTCCTTGCAGGTCATGGGCATCCGGGGACCCAGGGGCTACCCAGCAGATAGGGCTCAGCCCTATTAGGCTCACCTCGTTGCTCTTAGAGCTGACTTTGGGCCACAGGTTTGTTGATGGGGCTTCTCTCACTTAGTCTTGAGCTCTAAATTCTGACCTCTGCTTCATGTCCACTACGGTTAGACAGGTCCTTGCTCAGATCTCCTGCTCAGCTGAACACTGAAACATGGGGTCAGGCAGTGATACCACATGCTGATGGCTTTATGGTGGCCCCAGCCATCCGGGCCATGCATGTACTGAGTCTTCCTAGTAAACTAGAGGTAATGGTGTCTTCCTCTCAGGGTAGCTGGGAGGACTGAATGGCATTCAGCAGGTGTTGAGCATGGTCCCATCTTTTGATGTACGCTAGGCAAATGCTGTACTTTGGAGATTTGTCCCCAGGCCTAATTTATTTTTGAGATAGGTTCTTGCTTATATAGCTCAAGCTGACATTGAGCCCATGGTCCTCTTGCCTCTACATCCCAAGTGATGGGACTCCAGGCAAGTACCACCATGCTGGCTCCAACAACTGTCCACATTAGCATTCTCCCTATATGAATCATGCTTTTTATTCCCTGGGAAAGTACCTGTGACCCTATGCTTTGAGGTATCTGGATGACCAGCGAGGTTTCATTTTCCCCAACCTGCAAGCATCAGATGTATAAATCAGATAATTATAGTGATCTGTGTGTGCTACTTAATCACATCATACCCTAGATTTATCCTGGAAAAAAATAATAATAAAAGGAAAAGAAAACCTGCCCTTATCAGAATGGAGAAAACACGTGACCAGCAGGGCCCCATCTAAACTTGAGCAGTGACTTCCATCACAGATCTCAAACCCTTTCCATCCTTTGCATTATTCCCAGTCCAGCCTGCTTTAGAGACTGTCACTTCTGTCTCCCTCTGTGGCTGAACAGCAGTTTCTCTTTGTCTCACGTCCTTTTCTCCTTCATGCATTCCTGGGACATACCTTGGGTCACAGTCCAGGCGACTGGACAAGTGGAGCAACCGAGGTCTACTTGGGGGCAGCCATGACAGGCAGCCTTGAATGGTGCTGAGTAGGAGTGCTAGGGTCTCAGCCTCAGTGGTGGCTCATGCCTGTAAATCCAGTATTTGTGAAGCTGAGGCAGGAGGACTATTGGAAGTGGAAGCTATCTTGGGCTACAGAATGAGACCTTTTCTCATTAACTAACTAACTAGATAAACAAACAAACAAACAAACTAGTTGGGGCCTCAACATGCACAGTGTGAGTCTTCCCATTGCGGGTAACAATTACCTATTGCTGTGTAACGATCGGCTCTACAGGGTAGCATCTATATAGTAAACACAATGTTTCTATGCATCAGGGAATTAGGAATTGCTCAGCTGGGTGACTCTGGCTTGGCATTTCCCATGAGGTTGACTGGGGCTACAGTCACATCTGAAGTTGGTCCCCTTCATGTGGTTCCCTCGAATGGCTGGCATTAGTGTTGGCAGTTGGCAGAAGGCCTCAGTCTCTTGCCTTCTTAGAACTGCTTCTCAGGGCTCTCTGACTTGGCTACCTCCTTCTAGATGAATCCAAGAGAGCATAAGGTAAAAGCAGCAATGCTTCTCATGCCCCAGTGTCATAAATCATACACTGCCACTTTGTAATATCCTTGTTGTTAGCCGTGAACCACTCAATGTGGCCTACATTCAAAGACAGAGCAATCAGATTCCACATTTTTTTTTAAAAAAAAAGATATGTCCGAGAATAGGAATTTTTTCAGATTACCATATTGAACCTCTGAGACCCCTTCCCCGGGACTCGGGTGAAGAGCTCATCTCTCTTCCTTCCATTGCACTTTCCTATTTCACACTTAGTTATCCCCTGCAACCTTCCTGGCTGGTATGGCCACCTCATTCTGTTCCATATCCTGGCCTCAAGGATGCTCTGAGGCTTGGGATAAGAAAAGCCACCCTGCTACCACAAATGGAGCCACCTTCCTAAGGAATGAAATGATCACTCCCTTCCTCTCCTGCAGCTACATATAGCTGGGGCCCATGGGTACCTGCGGGCAGCTGAGCTCCTCCTGGACCATGGAGTGCGTGTGGATGTGAAGGACTGGGATGGCTGGGAGCCTCTGCATGCAGCAGCCTTCTGGGGACAGGTACTCCCCACCCCCTGTAGAGCAGTCAGGCACAAGGTAAAACTGCTAATCCAAGCCCTTTGGGCTAACAGTCGGTGCAAGGACTCACTTAAGGCACTGGCTACAGTGAGAGTGGGACATGGGAAGGGTCATGGATGTCGCAAATACATTGGACTAAATATCCTAACAGGATGAAACACAAATTTGCCCAGTAGAAAATCCCCTTGATTTCTGCATTGCGTGGGTTCTCTAGAATATGTTTTTCTAAATGTGATTGCAGCCTGTGCAGCCACCCGTAGACACCCAACAGCTGTGGAATCACAACTGGTTCCTCCTCCTACTGCTTTTCCTCCTTGTAGTAACACAGGCATGCTGAGAGCAGGTGCCAAGCCCATCAAATTTGACAGGGCTCTCTTACAGCGTCAGCATACAGGGCCTTCCCTGGGAACCAACTTTCCTCTACCATTCTTTGGGTCACATTCCAAGAGATCTTGGGTACTTTCTCCAGCTCCTAGGCTTCTTGAGTCCTGGGTATGGGGAACATCAACTTCTTCCTGTGTTGCAGATGCCAATGGCAGAGCTGTTAGTGTCCCATGGAGCTAGTCTCAGTGCCAGGACATCCATGGATGAGATGCCAATAGGTAAGACAGCTTAATATTTTGTATGCACATACTTACCAGGTTTTGTGATGGTGAGTAGATTATGGTTGAACATATGGCTGCATACTGAAGGTAGGTAGATGAGATAGGTAGATGGATGGATGGATAGAGGATGAATGGGTGGATGGATGAGTGGGTAGACAGGTAATGTGATATTGGATGTAATGATGGGTGGATAGATAAGTAGATGAAGTGGGCTGAGGATGAACCTATGGACAGATGACCAGGTTATCCAGTAGATGGGCAGGTTGATAGAGAGACTCAATGGTTGGCTTAGGGGGGTTTCTCAACATCATTGCTTCATTTCTTGCTTGATGGATCTGCTTGTTTCTCTCAATGCTCACATCAGGGAGACTTTGACTCTCCCAGAGACTATCAAGGATATGTGTCCTAGTTTGCTTTTCTGTTGCTGTGAGAAAACACTGACCAAAAGCAACGTTGGAAGGAATGGGCTTCTTTGGCTTACACTTCCACATCATAGTCCATCACTGAGGAAACTCAAAGCAGGAACTGAAGGAGAGGCCCTGGAGGAGTGCTACTTACTGGCTTGTTCCTGTGGCTTGCTCCCCTTGCATTGTTATACAACCTAGGCTCACCTACCCAGGGGTGGCAAGACCAACAGTAGGCTGGCCCTCCTAGATCAATCATTAGTCAAGAAAAGGCCCCACAGGCTTGCTCACAGAACAGTCTGATGGTGGCAATCCCTCAATTGAAATGCTCTCTTCCCAGACATGCCCAAGTTTGTGTCAAGCTGACAAGGCCTACCAGCCTGGTATGAGTTCCTCAGGCTTAGCTGGGAACTTCAGGAGTTCAGAGGCCCAGGTCTCCCATTCCCATATTCTTCTAATGAAATAAGCAGGTGTTACTTCTCCCCTCCCTCTGTGCCCCAGAAGGTTCTTAGAGCTTTTGGTGGGTTCACATGGTGGCTCCTGTGGTATGGAGCTCCTACCTTGCCTTCTGCAATTGACTCTTGTACTCCTTCAGACCTGTGTGAGGAGGAAGAGTTCAAGGTCCTGCTGTTGGAGCTTAAACACAAGCATGATGTGATCATGAAGTCCCAGCTGAGGCACAAGTCATCCCTGAGCCGGAGGACATCCAGTGCAGGCAGCCGTGGGTGAGTGGTTAGGGCAACCAGGGGCCCTTGCATAGGTCTGCCTGTGGCTCCTGGGCACAGCTTCCCAGCACCTCTGTCCCCCTCAGGAAGGTGGTGCGTCGAGCCAGCCTGTCAGACAGAACCAACCTGTACCGGAAAGAGTATGAAGGAGAGGCCATCTTGTGGCAGCAGCGGAGTGCAGCAGAGGACCAGCGTACCTCCACTTACAACGGAGACATCAGGGAGACCAGGACAGACCAGGAGAACAAAGACCCGGTGAGGGACCCTCTGCCTTCCTTCAGTGGTGGCCACTGCCTTGTGAAGAGGATAAGGCCCAGCCTGGTCCTATCTACCTCCTCATCTGAGAACCATTAGAAGGGAAATAGATGAGTGGCACCCTTAAACAGCTGGCCCTGTCTGATGGTGGTGGCTAGTATTGTTAAGGAGATGACCCTTGGGTGTATTAGTCAGAAAGGGGCTCATAATTGCCAGGGACAGAGTGATTGCCGTAGGCTTGCTTGTCCCCCAGTAGATCTGGTCCTGAATCCCCCAGAAGAGAGGCTCAGCATGACAGTTTTCCTAGAAGCCAAGGACCAGCACCTTCTTTTACAGGAACATAAGGTTTTGAGAATGGTGTTTCTTATGGTGCCATAGTTGAAGGGGGTATTTTGAAAAATAGAGTAAGGTTCTGGGACAGGCTATGAGAAGGAGCTCCTGCAGCAGGCTCTAGGTTCTGGGCACTCTTGGAAGATGATGTGTGGTCTTCCTCAGCTGTGATATCAGAGGTCACCATGGGGGTTTAACATGGTGGACACTCAGGGGTCTGAAGTCCAGAAGTCTAGGAAGGTGTTGATAGGGGAGGTCTGTGCCAAGGCCTCCTCCCAGCTTCTGGTGGCTTGGATGTCCCTTCACCTTTAGTATGACTTTGATCTCTGCCTCTGTTTTTACAAACCTACTTCCTGTGTATGTGTACACCTCTGTTCCCTTTTATTTAAAACACATTTTCTGTATTTACAGGTGTGAACACATACATGCATCTGGTATAGCCATCAGTTACTCGCCACCATTTCTCTTGAGAGAGGTGCTCTTACTGAACCAGATGCTCACCAATTAGCTAGCCTGGCTGGCCAGTGAGCTCCAGTGTCTCTGCCGATCCTGTATTAGGGTTGCAGACATGATTGACCACACTCAGCTTTTTGAGTGGATACTGGGAGTCCACACTCAGGTCTTATCACTTACCAACCAAGCCACTTTCCTGGCCCCTCTTGTTTTCTCATAAGGGCCCTAGTCATCAGATGAGGGCCCATCCCAAAACCTCATAGTCACTTAGTTATTTTTGAGCCTAATAATTTTATTTGTTCATTGCTTGCCTTTGAAGCCCTCTTCAGGGACCTCTTTGGTCTAATTCTATTCCACACTCTCTAACCACAACATAACTGTGTAACTACAGCCAGCCACTTCACAGGGCTTCCCATCTGGATCAGTTTTGCACAGGCTTGCCCATTCTTCTACTTTCTTCTTGTCACCACCCTTAAATTAAATTGATTTGGTGTTCAGCACTAGGATTTCTCTGTGCTTACATATGTAAGTTCATCACAGATGTGTGTAAGCACACATTGATGGACTGGGCACTTGCCCAAGGCTTTGGCAGCTTCTTGAATTTCACAAGGTTGGGCCACTGTGGATGAGAGTGGTCTTGAGCTCCCCTAGGATTGACATCTGTTACACTTCTAGCCAGGAAATCTTCCCTGGTGATGGGGTAGGGGTGAAGCTGAATCTTGAATTCACAAAGCATCTGCTTTCCCAACAGTAGCAGGAAAAGAGCCCTTTTCTTAATTTAATGACAGTTACAAAGAGAATCACTGGACTCAGACACTGAATATGTACTTTTCCTCTCTCCCAGGAAAAGACCTTGAGATTTGAAGCAATTTTACATTATAGAAAAATAAGTGGAGTGGTTGGGAGATGGCTCAGCCAGTAAAGTGTTTGCCATGCCAACATGAGGACATGTGTGTGGGTCTCCAGCACACACATTGAATAAAAAAAGCCAACCAGGTGTGGTGGTACATGACTTTGATCCCAGCACTCAGAAGGCAGGGGCAGGGGCAGAGAGAGGGCAGAAAGAGACTTCTGTGAGTTCAAGGCTAGCCTGGTTCATGTAGTTAGTTACAGAATAGCCAGAGCTACATGGTGAGACCTTGTCTTAAAAAAATGTGTTGGACTGGATATACATACCTATTATCCCATTGCCTCGAGATGGAGACCCTGTGCTTCCGCAGCCCACAGCTTACATCATCTTTACCAATGGCAGTTCTTACAGAAACATCTTTCCAGTTGTTCTAGCAAAAGCCTCAAAGTTGTGTTTCACTGATTCCATTTCTATTAACTCATTCCAGGACATTGACAATGAAATATGTTCGTTAGCTTCAGCCCTGGGGTTGGGGTGGGCATTGGTCTGCCTACCAGAACACAAGCCCAGATGCCCCAAAGCTACATGGAGGTAGAGAAGTGGATGGGTGATGCACCCTTAGCAGAGGTGCAGGTGCCTGGTAGGTGCAGATGCTCTAGCTGGGGGGCGGTACTGATGTTGTCCTCCTTCCCTCCAGAACCCCAGGCTGGAGAAGCCAGTGTTACTCTCAGAATTCTCTACCAAGATCTCTCGGGGAGAACTGGATGGGCCTGTGGAGAATGGCCTACGGGCTCCTGTCAGCACCTACCAGTATGCACTGGCCAATGGGGACATATGGAAGATGCACGAGATGCCTGACTACAGCATGGCCTATAGCAACCCCGGTGTGGCTGATGTCCCCCCACCCTGGAGTGGCTTCAAGGAGCAGAGCCCCCAAACGCTCCTGGAGCTGAAGAGGCAGCGGGCCGCAGCCAAGCTACTCAGCCATCCTTTCTTAAGCACCCACCTGGGCAGCAGCGTGGCCAGGTCAGGGGAGAGCAGCAGCGAAGGCAAGGCCCCCTTGATCGGAGGCAGAACTTCCCCCTACAGCAGCAACGGGACCTCGGTGTATTACACAGTCACCAGCGGAGACCCCCCGCTCTTGAAGTTTAAGGCCCCCATGGAGGAGATGGAGGAGAAAGTCCACGGCTGCTGCCGGATCTCCTAGTGTCTGTGAGCTGGAGGAGAGAGCTGCCTCGGAGAGGGGGCCCCTAGAATCCAAGCCAGCCCTGGCTGGGGAGGTGTCAAAGGGCATCCAGGGAGAGGTGGGAGCTGCTTTGCAGAGGAATGCTTACCTTACCTCATGCCCAGCTGCCCATAGCATCTCTACTCCCCTTGTGCTGCTTTCTCGCCTCAATGCCTGCATCTGAAGCATAGCAGCCCCAACTCACTCTGCAGTCTGATTCAGGGAGGGTGGGCTTGGGAATGTCAGTTCTGTACTTTGTAAAGGCTTCTCGGGACCAGCACTAACATCCACCTACACACACACACACACACACGCACACACACGCACACACACACACACACACACACACACACACACACACACACAGCAGTGTGTAGGACTGTTACACCTGACTTCTCGGTGGGGCTGAGAATTTATAGATAATTCCTGGAAGAGTCTAAGATCATCTTGTCATGCTAATTGTCCATGGGGGACAGACCTGCTTAGCTGAGACCCACAGTTCTGCATAGAGTCATACCAGACTGGGGCACCATCCACACCTAACAGGGACAGGAAGTTCTCTGTGCTCATGGGAGCCAGGAATCAATACGGATTAGATCAGTGGGTCCAGGCCTGCTCCCAACTGCCATGCTGAGAGCCACTCTTATGCACATGTCAATAGGCAGCTGTGTGATTGTTCAAGGGCCAAGCTTGAAAACCAGGCCATCCACTCTTAGAAGAAACCAAATCTTGTGCTGGTCTTCTAAGGGAGCACAGGAGTTGGCTAGGGTGCCACACAGTGGTATTTTCCAAACTGCATTTGGATAAAACATTCTTTGAGGCTGTAAAATTCCAGGTGGGAGGTAACTGAATTTGCTGTCTCCCAAGATAGCACCACGATTGGGATTTATTGTCTGGTGCTTGAAAATGAATTTCACCAGGAGCTTCTGTGGGGGTCTCCCAGGGAAAGGGTGAGTGCATTGTTGAGGACACCCTGGTTAACATTGATATAACACAGCTTTGTATTTTCCAGACTGTTTTGGTTCAGCCCATCTCAGCCAGCCCTTCTCAGTCTGAGCCTTCACATCGAGCAGTTGAAGCACACCACCCTCCCAACCTTACAAGGTCAATGTGCCGAGTGAATGCTCAGGCCTGTGACCCTCCAAGCTTTGCCTTTTCTGTAGTGCTATGTAAGACATGTTTTGCCAAGGGTCACTTGTTGGCTCCTGCCAGGAAGTCTCAAAGCTCCCAGCCTGCTTTTACTGGAGTGGGTTTGCCCAAAGCTATAGACTGAGGTACACGTGGGTGCTATCCCCATCCTGCATTCAGGAGAGGGATGGCATGGCTGGAATTGGCTCTCATCCCAGCTCTACAGCTTCGCTGCCCTAGTCTTCCTGACGCTGGGGAAGGAAGCTCATACCACCTCACCATCATGCTCTCCCACAAACCCATTGAAATTGAGCAACATACCTTGGGTCCAACACACAGGCTCCACTACAATCTTCTGGTGTGACTAGCAAGCTACAAGTTTGTTCCTTGCTCTGTGCTCCTTTTATTTGTCCTTAAACTACCTCCTTAGAGCCCTAAGAGGTTCCCTAAGTCTAGATTTGGATGTAAGGGACGGATACCCATGTTTTATGGTTCCCTGTGCCACAACCTTAGCAGTGAGGCTTGCCATTAGTTGGTCTCTGTCCCCATTGTGGCCTTGGAACTTCAATAGACTAGATATTAATCAGGGCCTGACTAGGTCGGGGTGTTACTTTGTCAAGATCAGGAGCATGGACCAGAGAGTGCCCTGGAGGCTGCTGGATGCAGAAGGAGGTGCACAATACTAGGTCACCCCACCCCAACTCTAGGACAAATGCAATCTGGCATGGTGGGACAGCACAGGAGAGAAAAGTAAGTTTCTTGAATCCCTGGGGCCTGAGCTAGGTTCTGCAGTTCATGGCTGCAAAGGGGATGGTCAAAACACATACCTGTGGCTTTAAACTAATATTTAGCTCTGACAGACACTGAAATGCCTCTGGAGCTGACTTTAGCCACAATGTGGGCAGTGCCCAGGCAGCCAGCCACATATTCATAGGAGTCAGCTGCCCAGGGTTTCTGAGCTCTTTACTCAGGGGTCAGAGGGTGAAGGCATTTATTGCTCTCTCTGAGCCATTCAGGGCATTCCTCTCCATCCCCAGCACTTCTTTCTGCCCCCTAGGCCATTCCTGTCTACCTGAGGGATGGGAAACTTAGCTGCCTCTTCCATGGGAGTTAGCCTCAAACAGTGTGGACCCATGACCAGGGATAAACACATGTTCCTAGTTTGGGCTCCAAGTCCCCAGGGCACTTTTCCTGTGACTGGAATATTGAGAGCCACAATGAGGCATAAGTGCATGAGCCAGGGCCACCTACTCATTCACTCATGTAATCTATTGAGGTTCTGAGACACACCAGACATGATGGCAGTGTCTGCAGATAATGGACCAGCCAGGTATGGAGGACTTTGATCCCTTGAGGTTTGTAGGCATCCCCAGATTCATCCATTATTCTGATCAGAGTTCCTGCATCCCAGATCAGTTCCCCTGTGCTTTGCAGCTCCTGCATTTCTTAGTGTGAACCTTTTAGCTAGGGTGCAACTTGATGACCACACTGAGATAACATTTGCCACTAAGTGCAGATGCTAGATCTTGGTCCTAGACAGATACCACATCAGTCCGTCTAGAGCCTTCACGGGTAGCCTTTAGGCCAGCATCCCTGGAGAACAATATAGCAGGCTGAGGTCAGTATCTGGAAGAATTAGAAGTCTACAATTTGTTGCCAAATGCATCCCTAGCATTTACAGTCATCCCTTACTCATTTTTGCTCATGAATCATACAGTCTTCTCTCCTACCCCACCAATGGATACTGAGAGTGAGATCATCTACTTCTTTTCATAGCAAACCTTTCCTTGTGTGCCAGCCTCTCTTCCTGGAAGGTGTGGATCCAGGGGATAGGGGAAGTTTGGCAAGGTTGACCAGATGTCCTACTATTACCAGGAACCTATGTCTTGGTAGCCATTCTTGGCAAACTGAAGACATCTATTTCTAAACCAGGTGCCCTGTAATTCCCTGTGAGCTGTGTCCTTGCACCCACCTTATGCTCTGTAAACAATTAGAAATTGGTGGCTATCACCAGATTGTGAATTTCTGGCCAGTAGCCCAGGTCTAAGCCCAGGTCTACTGTAGACTTTGGGGATACAATTCTTTATCAAATATTCAGCATTAATGAAGCTTCTCTGCACTGTTTGATGAACTTTAAGAGCTTGGAAAGGTTGACAGAGTGTGGCACCCAGAAATAGGAAGACAGAGGCAGGCAGTGTATTTCTGAGTTTAAGGCCAGCCTGGTCTGTACAATGAGTTCCAGGCTAGTCTGGGCTATACAAAGAAACCCTGCCTCAAAAACACAAAAACAACAACAACAAAAAACAAAAACAAAACAAAAGGAAAAACAAACAAATTAATAAAAATAAAATATGGTCCTTCGGTTGGCCTAGTACAGTCTAGCTTTGCAACAGTGTGAGACTCTTGGTTCTTAGTGTCTGATTCTCTTTGGTCTTGAGCTTTTTCTCCTACCTGCTCTCCTAAAGCTGGGTACCAGGATGCATTCTAGAGGAGCCAACCTTACATGATGCCAGGACTGTCTAAATGCTCACTATTTGTACCTGGTAATAGCCTTCCCTTCCCAGGGCACAGAAAAGCCAAGGGTCACATGGCCAGAGGACAGCTCCACTAAATTGACCCACCACATTCCTAGAAAGCCCTTAGGCCTCTCCTCCACAGGAGTTCATTGTTGGCCAAAGGGCCAATGCTTGCGTGGGCACTTGCAAGTGCCACTGTGCGGGGCCTGGCTCTGCACACCCAGGAAAAGTCTGCAGACCCCCAGACCTCCGCAATAACTCGCCAGACCAGAAGCCACTGATGTACAGAGAACACTTATGAAACAAATGTATTTTATGTGAAAAAAAGTTAAAACTCTGTATACTGTATCAGCAGCTTTGTGTAAAAATGGCAATCAAAAGAGTCTAATATATTTAAAACTTTTTTTAAAAAAAATTCTCATGGATCTTTGATATTGTATTGAAGTAGCTTCATGCCTCCAAGATGGGGTCTGACCATATCCCCAAGGGGCCTGTGCCCCTGGAGTTACTTCCAGCTGCCAAGGCCTGTGACGGAATTCGCTGTTATGGATTTTTCATTAAGATTATTAAATTCCTTTTAATAACACTGGTTGGTCTGACTGTGTGTGCTCTCACCTGCATAGATGACTTGAGTTCTACAAGAGACAGTGACTGGTGGCGGCGGCGGCAGTGGGGGATAGACCTGCCTGCGCACAGAAGGCTCTCCCAGGAGGTCCCCAGAACAGGAAGAACTTTGGGAACTCTCTATTGGTAGATGGTGAAAACTTATTAATTCCAGGTGGTTAGCACTGGGCTTGTATTCTGTTAAACATTCCCTTTGAAATTACATGATGCCTGTAGCAGCATACACTTTACAGTTTGATTGGTGACACCAGGGTGCCCCCTCCTCTGTTCCCTACTTGGTTGGACACACACTGGCTTGCCCCAGACTTTTCCATGCTCCCTCCTGGGCTTTCTCATTTAGCATATAGTGGAGAACAATGCTCTACCTTATTCAACAGAACCATAGATAAAGATCTGATTCTTCTCACTTTTAACCCAGAAAATAGAGGCAAAGACACAGTGTGTGGTTCTAAGGCTCCAGGCCATGGCCCCTGTCCTCATTACATGCAAGAGCTGATGTCTTGAAGGTTGCTATCTTGTAGCCTTCTGGATACTGAAGTCAGAGTGGGGACACTGAAGGCCCCACCCTTGGGTTTCAATGGCTTCCCTGAGTAGGTTGGGGCTTGGAAAGGATGGAGACAAGTATCCTAACAGCAGCCTTATGGAGGTAGTAGATTACAAAGGCTACAAGGTGAGTTTGAGGCCAGTCTAGGCTACATGGAAACCTTGTCTCAAAAGACAAAGATCACCTTTTGCAGTACTTTGTAGTGGCACTAATGCTTTCTTATTTGCACAAAGTTATCTGATGGATTTGGCACAGTGAAACTCATGGTGAACTCAGTCAGATGTTTTGGTATAACAGTTGTGGCATGAACTTCCTTAGAGTTGAGGGGGAAAACTGAAAACTGAAGATGTCAAGGACAAGCCACTTAAGTGAGGCTCTAGGCTACAGATGTCAGTGGTTAAGAGTTTGCATTGCTTTTGCAGAGGACCCAAGTTGCATTCCCAACATCTTGCAAACACTTGAAACTCTAGCTATGGGGGGATTTGACACCCCTGACCTGTTGGTGCACCAGTACTCAGATGTGCATACCTTCCTCCCCCCCCCCATTTATACATACACATATATTTTCTAAAAAGATGAACCATGTTGAGGAGAACATGGTGGTATGCCTGTGTAATCCCAGTCCTTGGGAGGCTGAGGCAGGAAGATCAAGAATTCAAGGCCTGCCTGGGCAACAAAGTGAGCCCTTGTTTCAAAATAAGCAGCATTTTAGCAGGAAGACTGATGGTGTGGGAGAGGGGAAGGGATGGCTGGAGATCTACAGGGCTGGAAGCTATTTCCTGGTCAGAAAGGTTGGTAAGGCTCTGGTACCACTTACCCATGCAAACAGAAGACAGACATAGTAATCACCTGTGGATGTTCTTTTGTGACTGTTTATGTCCTGTAAAAGTATTTTCTCAGTGAAATAGAGGAGAGAACGGACACAGGAAGAGGTATCGTGAAGGACAGAAATGAAGGTTAACAGGCATTTCTTCTTTTTTATTATTTTTAGTTAGCATATAAAAATGATTTTAACATTTTCATACATATATAGTGTTGCAGTACGACTACATTAGCAGCTGATTTTAAGGACACACTTCAGATCATGAAGGTGAAGTATAATCAGTCAACAAGCATGGTCCCCCTTCTCCCCCCATCTCTTTATGGTATCAAGGTGCAAGTTTGGAAAGTGCAGTTTAAATAGGATTGAGGTGTTGCTGGGCAAAAAACTATGAAAAAAGGAAGTCCATCAATGAAAGAGTGGCTTCCACAGTGGATAAGTATATAGATGTGTATGTGTGTACATATATGTATGCACATATGTATATATCTGTGTGTGTGTTTGTGTGTGTTCACAAGGTCTTATTTGCTTAGGATGAGCTTCAATTTGGCATCAGCACACAATGGCTTTGAACTCCAGGTCCTCTTGCCCCGATCTTCCATGTGCTAGGAGTGTGCCACCAACCCTGGCTTTGCACCACTGGGGAAAAAATTACTTATTTTTATTTATTTAGTGAGTATGTTTGTGCACCACTTGCGCATACAGTATCTGTGGATGACAAAAAAGGGCATGGGATTCGCTGGAACCATTAAAAGCAGTTATGAGCCACCAAGAAAGAAGAGAGCCAAACCCAGATCCTCTGGAAATGCTTTTAGCTGCTGAATCATCTCTCCAGTCTCCTTTTTTTTTTTTTTTTTTTTTTTTTTTTAATGAATAAATGAATGATTAGATGCAGGGTGGAATGGCTGTCCTGGAGCGAGTCCCAGGTGTCGGAACGCACGTTGTGGGACAGACGGCAGGGGGCGCGCAGGGACAGTGCCGGACTCTGTGTCCTGTTGGAACCCGTTCTAGAGCCGCTAGGGCGGGATAAACTCAGATTTAAATTGCGGTCAGCCATCCAGCAGTGAGAGCAGAGGGTGGGCGGGTCATTTCTTCGGCGAACAACCAATGGCAATTAGGAGGCGGGGACTCTGAGTTGCCTGGGAGGTAAACAGCCAATGGGAGATCGGGGCGGGGCGGCGAGCCAATAGCGCGGGCTGGTTTGATTCAAAGGTGCCTATAAAAATCTCAGGCGACTATCGCTCTTCAGTGGACCCTCTCTGAGCGCCGCCATGGCTGCTCATTGTGAGCTGTTGGACGAGCTTCCCGCGGCCTGCCTGTCGCCGTGCGGACCGCCCAACCCGGCGGAGCTGTTTAGCGAGGCGCGGCGCCTGGCCCTCGAGCAGCTGCTGGCCGGCGGCCCCGACGCCTGGGCCTCCTTCCTACGGCGCGAGCGACTGGGCCGCTTCCTCAACGCCGATGAGGTGCGCGCGGTTCTGGGCGCCGCCGAGCGGCCGATCGAGGACGGCGCGGCCGTGGCTGAGGACTCGTTCGGCTCCTCTCACGACTGCTCGTCGGGCACCTACTTTCCCGAGCAGTCGGATCTGGAGCCTCCGGCCTTGGAGCTCGGCTGGCCCGCCTTCTACCGGGGCGCTTACCGTGGTGCCACGCGCGTCGAGGCTCATTTCCAGCCCCGCGGCGCTGGCGCGGGCGGCCCCTACGGCTGCAAGGATGCGCTGCGCCAGCAGCTGCGCTCCGCCCGAGAGGTGAGCGCCCCCTCCCCCGGGGTCCCTCACTCGCCTACTTTGCAGCTCCTCGCCGGACCCCCAGCCACCCTTGCGGGGAGTAGGGGAGGCCTTCAGAAGTTGGAGTCAGTCGTGATGTAGTTCTAAGTCTTAATATTCGTACCCCTGGGACAGGGCCCAGTTCCGACTGTTAGTTCAGACCATGAATTCCCAGAACGTTAGCTGACTCTGGATTCCACTTTCAGGAGCTTCTTAAGACGCGCACTACTAAAGAGTCGCTTTACCCAAAAGATCGTACCCAGAAAATATTGGGAATCTGTTACTGCCTCTCACTCCCACGCGTCTTAATGTTGTAAACGGATAAATTCGAGCCCAGGCCGTTGATTCCTTGACCCTTCTGTGAGTGAGTCTGACACGCTGTCCAGGTTGCTTTAACCCAAAATGCAAATACTTCTGCATTAGATAAGCCTCTGTTTACAATGGGTTTTTATCTTAGCTGCCTGAGTGGCCTGGTGTGATAAGAGGTGGGGGGTAAAAAGTCTGGCCTGCCATACTGAAACCACAGCAGTGGGATCAGGGAGGAAGAAGGCTGCACTTGGGAGGGTGCGGCTGCAAGTTTGCATGCTGGTGAACTCTGCTCAATTCACAGCCTTTATGGCTGTGCCAGGAACATGGCAGGCAAAGCCCCGGACCATGTCAAGACTTGGTAGGCCTGGTACCGCTATCTGTCAGGGTGGAGATCAGGTTGGAATTGCCAAGTCTAGGAGCAAGCCTGTGTTCTGTTGTTGTTTTCCTCTTTTCAAGACAAGGTCTCTTGCCTAGGCTTACCTGGCCTCAATTCCTAGCGCTGAAGCCAATGTTCTGATCCTGTGGGGTTTTTTTGTTTGTTTTGTTTTGTTTTCCAGACTGGTAGGGATGCCGTGTGATGGAGGTAGGTGACCTAGTGTTTGTTGTATGGCTGTGGCTAGATTAGTGTTAGGCTTGTGGAGTTTTTTAGGGGAGGGGGCAAGAATAAGTTTGAGGCTGAAAACTGTTTTACTTGTGGATTCAGTACAAAGCTTATAAAGCTTTTGGAAGAGGCATATTTGTGGACTACATGTGCATGCCCAAAGTGCTCCTCCAGGAGGAGAACTCGAGCACTTGGGGCACCTGGGAAACAACAGAACTGGTCTCCAGGAAGGGCAGAGATGCGGGTTGCTCTAACCTTTTGCTCAGCTTGGGTGAAGGGGCATTGGAGTTAGAGGTCAGAAGAGAAACTTGCCTTAAAAGGGATCTGGTTGCCTCTGAGACATCCCTATCTTTCGGGCAATCTGGAAAACGTGCCTGGGTAGGGCCTTCTGCTTTCCTCATTACCTGGTTCCTCTCCACCCTCGCCTAAATTCTGTATTTGGAAGCTGGGAGGGGCTACTGAGAAAGATGGTATGTTACTTTAAATCCAATGAGCATTTTTAGTATAGCTGCCAAATTGCATGCTTACATAGAACCTCTGGATTGTCACACTGCCAGGGTTGAGGCCAGGGGAAGAGGTGTGATCCCTAACTTGTTCTTAGTTTATGGGGGCTGGGGAGATTGCTACAGGTAATGAGTAAGGGGCTAGAAGAAAGTCTGGAATGGCAGTGACTTAGTTGGAAGGGTGTAACAGTAACAAGTAACAAGCCAATGGAGAGAGAGGATAGGGACTAGACCAAAAGTGGAAAATGGTGATCAGATTGGTGTCCCTAGCAGTAAATCTGACATGGATGTAGGTTTAAGAGGGTGGAGGTTGCAAGGAGGCTAAAGATGTCTTTGTAAGAGAAGAATCTGCATTAAGGCTGGGTGGGATGTTTGAGATAGGATGAACTGGAATAGAAAGGCAAGAGGGAGGTTTATGAACAGTG